TGAATGCCGTTTGTGGTCTGTCTGTACAGAATTGTTGTTGTTGTAACAGCATACAAATTCCAGGCCAGTGTAGGCGCCTTGATCTCGTCCTTCAGTTCGTAGTGATGCCTTTAGACGTGCCCTGGCGAGGGTTCTGTCGAGAGCAAGTGTCAGTTCGGGTGCCCACGTCTGTGGCACCCTACTGGGAGCTGACAGTGAGCATTTGAACCTCGCTATGGAAGTGATGTTCTGTCAGGTCTGTAGCTTCATGCAGTGCGTCCTGTTAGTTCCCGGCGACCACACGGGCGCTGCAGCGTTTAGAGCCGGCCGGACAATACCAACAATATTTCTCGGTCGTTACCACAAGTGCTGCCGGCTAACGGTTTGAGGACTTGTTGTGGCTGTGTACTTTATTGACAATTGCAGTTATATACGCCAAGAAATTAAACAGAAGCGGGGAGAGTACACCAACTTGTAAAACTCCCTTGTATGTATATGCAAATGGCTTCTTTATCTACCTCTTCAGGGCTGATAAGGCTGAATTTTGTGAGTCTTGACCATTTCCACGACAATCAGGGGGGCGCTGATTCTGGCAACATTCTAATGACATAGACAGTACCCTAAAAATGTATGTAATTTTTCTTTGCTATGAAGATCTGAAATATACAATATTTAAAAAAAAAAAATCCGCTTACCCAATTGGCTACATATTTATAAAATCAATTACCGAATATCATTGGTGATTTCAACGGTTAATGCATTATTTGAAATTATCCAACAACATGAAATTTCAGCAACAGAACAAGAAACCACCAAAATACGGTAAAATCTACAATACCCCTTTGGCCGGGATAAGTAGTCATTAAAATCGTTATTTCATTGCCTTTACGCGGGCAGTCAGTAATGGAAAAGGTCAGACACTCACTTATTTATACGAAATACTGCATACATGCGTACCTGGCTTCCAACGTACGTGGCGATGCAAGTGAATGAATGAAGAGAGCGAATCAAAAGATGCGTTGCTTCCAGCCAGCCAACTGGCCAGACATTCAACCAGCGTGCGGAGCAGAGAAGCAAGTAGAAGGAATGATTTCAGAATGAAATGAAAACAAACTGTCTGTAGGCATACGAAGGTGCAACAAAAAAGGAAATTGATGTTTATGAATAACAAAAAAGAAAGTAAAAAATATTTTCGAGAAAATTTAAGCGAAGTTCCATTTCATGTACGGCAACAGGCCTTGGTGCAGTTTGAGAAGGTATAAAAAAGGGAAACACAACACCAGCAGAGGCAGAAAGAACTTCACTTCGAAAATTGTAGACCCGCAGCAGCAGCTGCAACAGAGCACCGCAAACAACAAAAACATGCAATGAAATTCAAAAAAATGTATAAACATTACAACCAACAACACCGCACAGACAGCTAATTTTAACTTACCTTTTGGGGCACCGTTTGGATACTCATTTTATCGCCACTTTGACGTTCAGTTGCAGCTTGGATTGCCTAAGCAAGCATCCAAAGCAAAAATAAAATAAAAAATACATACATATGTATGTACATGTGTATCTTCACTGAAGTACAAAAATATACCAGCACATATGTACATACATATGTACATGCATACCTACACATTTGGCACCTTCGAGTTCTCATACAGAATCGCATTTTAGATTGAGTTGGATTGGATTGCAGCCGTGGTATAGCAGCGCATGCGTTAATTTCCACAGACGCAGCGCAATATAAAGCAAAATCACTTTGGATTTTGGGAGATTTGGGAGAGGTGTTAGCACTCTGATGGCGTCGGTAGATTTTACCGCTACCTTTATTCATGAAATGCAATCATATCGTTCTCGGAATAGCAAAAAAATGCCTAACAAAAAACTAACAACAATGCTATAATAAAAACCTAAAGCTGAACAACCGCGAGCCAACGTGAGGCAGCAGTGATAGAAGGACGATCGATTTTCGTCCCGTTTTATTTTACTGAGTCAGCGCTTGCTGTGATTATCTTGTATTTTGTGCTTCCAAAAACGATCAGCCCAACTCTGAATACTTCCAGGGAGTTTGTTCCCCGGGAATTTGTTGCTCCCTAGAAAGAAATCTTCCAATAATTAACTCCCAGGGAGTAGCATTTTCCCCGAAAATTTGGGAGGAGAAAACTCGAACTTCTCAGAGCTGTTTGACACTTTTTTACAGCTCAATTCCGCCATTTAAGAATAGGAAAAGAGAGAAAGCTCCCAGGTAGTTTCTGTTCAGAATCGGCCTGGATATGTTTGTTGTAAGTGAAACAAGGCAAGCCACAGTGGAAAGAGCCGGGGCAGGTTAGCTGAGCCTGACAACAACGTTGGCGGACAAGCTGACCCGAGCGGGGCTAGTATCCGCTAAAACAAAAATAATAACAGCCACAATTATGTTATTGTGAGCCAAAGTCTGCCAACTGCACTACTGGGTTGTTATTGTTATACCGGGTCCCTAGTTAAGAAAATATAGTCGAATCGAACTTGGATTCTTAGATGACAATGATTAATAGACTAGCTAAAATACGCAGGACTTAGTACTTAGAGCCTCTGCTACAATAACTAGCACACTTTAGCATGTGATTACATATTCCACTCTCATGACATCCGAAGAGCTGTGGATATACATACATAATTCAATGATTGGCCTGATTGGGGCTAAGATTGGATGAGTTAGTCGGAAATGTTTAGTACTTAATTCAAATCCACCAATATGGGGACAGAGTTCTGATATAACAACAAAAAAGCAATTAAGTGCTAATAATGATTAAAAAAAAGTAATAGGTAAGTATGTAATTAACATCTTTACACATTTATGAGCATACATATCTACATACATACATATGTTCGTATGTATACAAAATCACGACTCAATAACGTCTCTTATAAATGCATTTTAACTTGTACGAGTATGTAGGTACATACATATGTTTGATCATAATTTGCGCAAATAATACTTATGGCAAAGACGCAGTTTCACGAATAGCGCATAGACCCCAGTTGCTGACACAATCGTACAATGGCACGACTGGTGACCAGAATCATACACGCGAATTACTTTATTGCACATCGCACTCTACATCAAAGCTAAAGCTGATAAGATACATCAGGTTGTTTAATTTTATATTCACGCTGAATGGCAATTCAATTTTGTTGCGCTTAATGACGTACGAGACGAAATTCAATATGATTTATTACCTTAAAGCGTAATTCGATAAAAATCATGGATGTGGGAATTGTACTAAGGTTCATGGCATCATAGATACACAAAGAATGTTAATAAATATAGTATGTATGTGCATCTATAATTTTGTACTTACTTGCATATATGTAGGTACTTACACCTGCTTTCAACTAATCAGCACCGAAATTCAAAATGATACCGTCGCCCGTATGCCAGAAACATGAATGTGTAAAAATTAAAATATTTTCAAATTTTTTTTTTGTACAAGAAATTTTAATTGTAAAGTATGTGCTTTCCGCGTACACATGGTACTTATTCTGGATTTTGGTATAACATAGAACACCCAAAGGTTAATCAAGTCAGCCCAGTAACTCAAAACCAGAGTGTCCAGATTGTTAAAAAAAAACGCTATTTCTGAAAAAAAAATCGCCAATTTTGTTTAATAAGATTGATGAAATCGATGTAACAAATCTTTTATTTAAAAATAAGATCTTGTTAAATAAAATCCTATAATAAAGCGAGATCAGCTAGTTCCATAATTTCTTCAAAATCACCTGTCTGTGACTGTGTCTGAATTATTTACATTTCTGTTGCTGTCATATATTGAGCTATTCAACCTTGATAACATACTGTTTGATATTGGAAACGTTTTGCAGCATAAACTATTAGCCTTCATATAACACTTTATTCGAACTCTTTAACTATAATAATTTTTAATTTTTGTTGAATTAATTCTGTAACATTATCGTGGAAAACTAAGTTTTGTATATTTTTGTAATTAGAAAAAATTTATTTGAAGGAGAAAAATCGCCAATAACGATTTCCTAAATTTTTACGCGCAAATATCCAAAAAAAAATCGCCAAATTGGCGCGAAATCGCCAAATCTGACCGCTCTGCTCAAAACTGATAAATTTTCACATTCATGCTTCTGGCATGAGGGTGACGATATTGTTTGCAACTTATGTTTAGTTGTTTATTTTCAATAATTTTCATTTAAACTATAATTCAATATATAACAGAAAACGCATAAATAGAAGTTTCAAAGCTTGCACAAATTAAAAGAAAAATATCAAACTTCAAAAAATTGTCATCAAAATTTCTAAATAGTTAATCATAACATTGCAAGTTTAAAGTCGCTAAAAATTGCCGTTGACTTTTTAGATTTTTTTTTGTGAGGGTGTTGCAGGTTATTATTTTTTTTTTGTCATATAAAAATAGATTTTGATCATGCTTTGTATGGGAGAAAAAGCGCAACACCCTCCACAAAATAATTCTAAAAAATCAACGGTTATTTTTAGCGATTTGAATCTTGCACTTTATTGGAATAAAATTGAATGGGCTACAAAATTGCATACCTGAAAATTGTCTAAATGTTCTGATTAAAAATTTAGAAATTTTTATAAAAATCTTTTGAAGTTTGATTTTTTTTAATTTGTGTAAGCTTTGAAACAGTTATTTATGTAGTTTCTGTCATACATAGATTGAATATTTTAAATTAAAATTATTAAAAATAAACAAATAATCATAAGTTGAAAACAATGATAACATTTTTGATTTCCGTGCACTTAGTTGAACTCAGGTGTATGTATGTATGTATTACATACATGTGTCAATTTTTTTAGCACTTACATATATACATATGTACATAGCTACGTCCGTGGAGTGTGACAAATTGTGTTAATTTGATTGGTTACCTACTGCGCTTTATTACTGCCACTTTAGCTATTGTCACAACAAATATTATTCAAATAATACTCGGTTATGCAAATATTTGTACATAACTTAGTAGGAATCAGAATTTATCATTATAATAAAACTTACCGTTTCACCATTTTGTTGGTCACTCCAGAATTATTTTCCTGTAGAGATCCAATATCTTCGGATTTATTATAATCCAGCTTTGAAAAGATTTTTATGCGCCGGAAATTAATTTTGAATTATTTTTCTTTAATGCACGTAATTGCTCCAATAAGTTGTTTTTGTGCAAGCAGTGAACGGACGGGAATATGCAAAGAATCCTATAAATTTAAATAACCGAAATGAAAATCCATGAATGAGAAAGTTAAATTCATGAAAGGGAAACAAAAGCTAAATTTCAAAAGGAAAATTGCAGCTGCAATATTTAAAATACGAATATTTATTTTTTCATTATTTCGACAGCATAACGCGTGTTTCAGGTGGTAAGTAATCGATGTGGGAAGAGTTCTTGGCGGAATGGCATGAGTTGGTTGGTGGTGGCAGAAAAACTTGTTTTTTTTTTTAATTCCTCTTTCTAAGGAGAGGCATCGAAAACCATCAAACTGCATACTTATGTATGTATACATACATATGAATGTAGAACAGAGATGTTGCGAATATTTGCATTCGCAATCGTTTGCGAATGATTCGCATCATTTCACACATTCGCATTCGCATCAAATGATACGAATATTTTTCGAAAACGAATGTCTACATGGGCAGAGCGTGCAGTTAACGAGCACTAAGCACACAATCGTATATATTAAGGGCCGATAATGATGTTCAACCGGCAAGTAGTGATAACCAGACATTGAACAACCGGCCCTAAAGACTGCTCCAATTTAACATTTGGACGCCCTCAAATGTGTGCGGATTTTTTGCTAAAGTTGCACATTATCCTCTTTTTCTGAGAACCTGTAAAATATTTCAGTGCTATACATAATTTACGTAGTTGTATTAATATATACATAATATACTATCCATAAGGGTATACTAATTTTTGTCCGTTTACATGGCATATGCGGTTTAACCGCACCTGGCTCAATTACGGTCTGGATACTGTAGCCGCCTCAACAGCGACCTGTCCAGACTCGACCCCAATATCCCCAATAAGTGCCCGGCATGTGGAGAATCCCCCCACGACACCAACCACCTCCTTACATGCCAGCTCAATCCGACTCAGCTAACACCCCTCGCACTCTGGTCCGAACCCATTGAAACAGCTCGTTTCCTGGGCCTCGCGTTAGTTGAGCTTGAGGGAAAGGATTGAACGTTGACCCGAAAAAGACGGGGCTTAGTAGTGCCGCTACAACAACAACAACATATCCCTTTTTAACTTTGACTACTAGATTTCCATGCACATAACACAGTGTCGGTAACGTCGATAATGCTGTTTAACCGGGGACTAGTGTCAACCAGGCTTTGGGCAACCGGCCCTAAAACACTGTGAGTGTCTGTTTACATACACGCGCCACGGTGACTTTTACCACGGTAAAAATTACGCCGAAAAAGTTCTGTCCCACTTCTCCGGCAACACAGAAAGGAGAATTCTGAGTAGGTAGGGTTATAATTCCTAAGAGCGGCCGAAGGCCACTTACGCATAAAGAAGTTCTGCCCCACTTCTCCGGCAGCACATAATACAGGTAATTTTACCGTGAATCTATGGTAATTTTTACCGTGGCTCTTCGGTAAAATTTACCGTGGCGCGTGTGTGTAGACACTGCCTATAGGTTAAGCACTAGTTCTATGTTCTAATAATTTATAAAACGATGACCTAAGTTAATTATAGGTCTTTTAGGGCCGGTTACTCAATGTCTGGTTAACACTAATCTCCGGTGAAACATAGTTATGGACGCTACCGACTCCCTGTTGTATGCATGGAGTCGAAGACGTCGATAGCGATGTTTAACCGCAGATTAGTGTTAACCAGACATTGAGTAACCGGCCCTTAATGTTACTCCTAACATTTGCATTCGCCTTCGCATTCCGAAAATTAAACATCCCTAATGTAGAATATATAATATGAAAGCTTACTTTTGGGGTATTTAAAATGTTTAAGCTTACATCTGCGCCAAGTGCAACGATTTGAATAAACAAAATTAATTAAGCACCAATTCCTAGCCGAAGTATGCAGGGCTCACCAGTACCGCTAGAACAAATCCATTTTGGAGATTCAGAAAAAAACCTCAAAAAATAACCTGTCTTTGTTTGGATATACGTTTTAAATTTTATCATTTGCTTGCCGATCAGGGTGTACCCACACCAAATCAGTCAAAGCGTATTAACACCATCAACATATTTCCTATTCCTCTCTTCTAATCAACCACCACACCTTTCCCAATGCCAGAAATTGCGGGAGACAATCCCCGTAGCAGACGGAAGTGTTCCAATGTTCTTCTCCTTCTTTGGTTGTTCTTCCATACATCCCCCACTCTGAAAAAATATTTATGTATGTATTGCCTTTATACAATTTTCTGCTGCTTTATTTGATTGCATTGCATTGCGTTGTTCTCTATATTTTTCGCTGTGCCTTCTCCACTGCTACGCCTTTAATTTTCCTTGACTTTTAAATTTAATTAGCACTTTCAAGCTTACATCGATTTCTAACCGTTTATATTCTTGTTTGGGGCAATATAAATTTAATAAATCAGAAATTAATTCAAATTCTGTGTAATTCGTTTTTATTAAACTGCAAACACCACCGGAGAATAGTTATTAAATTACAGCAAACCTTTTATTTCGGTTCGCAGCGTTGTAAACGAAGAAAAACTCACACAAGATTGCAATGAGAATGCAAATGCACTTTTTTCTTTTCTCACAGCTTCTACTTTGTTGCTTCACACTTTTTATATCTTTGCTCGGCTTCTTTTTTATTTTCACTCCATTTCCAAGTTGGTTTGCAATGCGTTTCTGCACCTTGAAATCTTTGTACATAAATTTTTCTTTATTATATTATTATTTTGGAAAAGCGCAGCTAATACCAAAACACGTTAACTCAACTCCGTAGGAAATTAATGACTGAATTTCAAACTTCACCACAGATCTTTTTTGTTGTCAAATTGGCGTTTTCACCATACGCTTTTTGACATTTCGTACGATGACAGTTGACAGTGTTCATGGCAATGAAAATAAGAGACAAAATCCCCTCGTTATCCGCCAGATGGCGCATAAATGTATTACCCGATTCGCAATGGGGGCAAAAAATCAAAATCGGAAAAAACTTATTGCCGGCATAGCAGGGCAACCAGCGGCTGGTAGTGCAGTGTATGGTGGGGTAGGCAGTGCAGTTTGTATATCGGCGGCGGCTTAAAACGGGCCTTGACGCAAAATATTACAAATTTACATGACGAAATAAAAAAATCATAGACAGTGGGTATAAATATTAGCTTTGTTTCTTAACAGATATGTAATTATACCAAATACAGAGCCGTAGCAAAGTCCTTAAAGGCTCTGTTATGCATACTTGGCATTGCTTGAGAGTTGTCACGTAAGGAATCTGTTAAATGAGCTTCGCGTGTAAGCTGTTACCCAACGCACAGCATTACATATGAACCGCTTACACGCGAATGTCTCTTTAGCTCAGTTATGCATACTTGCACTGCTTTACTAAATTTACGTAAAATTCAAAATCCAACCGAATTCTACGTGTTAAGTGCTTTGCGTTGGGTAACCGCTTACACGCAAAGCCCATTTAACAGATTCTTAGGGCCGTTTGCTCAAAGCCCCGGTTGACACTAATCATCGGTTAACATAGTTATCGACGTCTTCGACTCCATGCATACAACGTGGATAGCTATGTTTAACCGGAGATTAGTGTTAACCAGACATTGAGTAACCGGCCCTAAATATGCATAACTGGGCTCTTAATAGATTCCTTATGTGACAACTCTCAAGCAATGCCAAGTATGCATAACAGAGGCTTAAGTCGCTCGCCGGTAGCACTAGGTCAAAAGGCGTTGTTGGCAACATTCTGGGCAATTGGGCGGCCTGTTCTGTTGGTCGACGGGTACTTATTGGATTCAGTGCAGCACAGAGACGAAAGCCGAAAACCTTACGGTACTTGCTGTGCGAATGTCACGCACTTTGCAAAGGAAGATGAAAGCTCAAAATTCTTCGTAGGTTTAACCACCAATGCCGAAGTAGGAATATGGCATCTTTTCAGTTTCGCATACTCCGCACTCGCACGGTGATTTCAGAATGAGCCCAAAATTGCCCAAAAAGTGCCTAGATGTGCTAGATGGGTCACTGATAGCCACTTCAATCTAACCTAACCTACGAAATAAATCAGAAAGCATCTATCGGCGATACTGTGGGAAAAGCGGAAGCCGTCAATAAATTAGCTGATTGAGCAGTATTTACTTAAGGCCCGGCAACTACTTAGGGCCGTTTGCACCATGTCTAGTTAATTCAAAAGGCTCTGTTATGCATACTTGGCATTGCGTGCACTGCTATACCATTTTTACGTAGAAATCAAAAACCAACAGACTTTTACGTATGTAATGCTGTGCGTTGGGTAACCGCTTACACGCGAAGCTCATTTAACAGATTCCTTATGTGACAACGCTCAAGCAATGCCAAGTATGCATAACGGAGCCTTAAAGGCTCTGTTATGCATACTTGGCATTGCATGCACTGCTATACCATTTTTACGTAGAAATCAAAAACCAACAGACTTCTACGTATGTAGTGCTGTGCGTTCGATAACCGATTACATGCGAGGCTCATTTAACAGATTTCTTATGTGACAGCTCTCAATCCATGCCAAGATGCATAACGGAGTCTTTAACTCCCAATTAAACATCTTTATCGACGTTATCGACACCCATCATATAACATGTGATCGATAAAGCAGTTAACGTGCTTAACTGAAGGATGTACCTCCAGTTAGCGTTAACTAGACATGGTGCAAACGGCCCTTATTGACACAGTTTCGCAGTTTATCCAATCACGGAAAAGACCTCAGACAAACGAATCAATGCTCACCACTTTTTCTTCGAATTTTACGTTGCTTTTCATAGCTTCTGCTACGTTGACTTTCAAGTAATTCCTGGCGATAGTTGATACATTGGACAGGGCAGGCAATTGAAATGCATGTCGATAAACCAAAATGATGGCCAAAGCGTTTAACATATTTGTCTTTTTATAAAGCGCGAAGGCGTAGACAATGACGTACAAAGAAAAGAAACTTTGGGTTTCTTTCGAGACAAAAATTCTGTACAAGATCTATATGGCCCTGTTTGCGTGGGCGACGTGTACCGAAGAATATGGAATGGCGTACTATTCGATAATGAAATAGACAATATGCACTGTGACCTAACAGATCTATTGTGCCCTCAACTGTTCACCACACTTCGTACAATCCTTAAGTCCCCAAATAGTTTGGAAGAACTATTGAACTGGAAGCGTAGGAGCTCATAGCTATGTAGACTTTTCTCATGTCTCCTTGAAACGGCCTTACACTCAAAGAAAAGGTGCAATTGTGTCGCTTTGCCTTAGTCGCAAAAGCGACAGATTTCATAAATTGCAGATAGAGGGTATTGAATTTAAGCCATCGATATGATAATCCTGAGCTTCTGATAGCTCCAAATAACCTCTAAGTTTAGCGGAGGCCTGCGGTGCAGTGCCAATGTCTATCTTCCATTCCTGCTATCTATTTCGTGGGCTCTTTCCCGATCTATTTAAACCTACTGCAAGGATTGGCTGAATCCCTGTGGGAGTTGAAGCTACATTATCTCTGGCTAAGTTATCTGCTACATCGTTTCCCTTCATCCCCTTGTAATCTAAAACTCAAATGCTGGAGAGAATTGACCTCAAAAGGTTAAGAGAGCTCTAAGTGCTGCCAGACTGTGGCTAAAGAATATCATGCTCTCATTGTGGTAATGAGCTACACCTTCTCATGTGGATTTCTACATGCACATTGATAGCTCAATCCTGGCGTCAAAGATGAGTACTTATTATAATGCCTCCTGGAGTTCCATGTTTCATATCCTACTTGGGAAAAGTTAAACATTTAGAGAAAGTGAAGAAACTCACCGTATTTTGATGTTTTTCTAGATCAAATAATTTACATCTTAGACTTTTTCAAGGAGAGTTTTCATAAGCAATGACATACAGTTCTTGTATAGCTACTAAGGCATCTGGTACCGGGATTCGGTATCTATGTTGTAATATATATAACATATATATGAGGCACTCTTTTTCATATCGGACACCAAATTTGGTGTCACAATTTCGATTGGCTTCACATTTTTTTGTTTTTTCTTCAGATATGTGGTTTGTCAAATTTTGGATTTTTTGTGATTCTGACTAAATAATCATGTACTTCTTCAAATTGTTATATCTCGGGTTCTGTTCATCGTAGAGACTTAATTCTTGACTCTGACAAAATAAACCACCTCGTCATAAAAAAAAAAAAAAATATTTTAAAAATAGTTCTTGAAAAACTCCAATTTTTTTGGAACTTGTTTTTTATAGAGAATTAAACATGCATGCATGCCTCAATAGGTACCTTTATTCAAAACGAACAACAAGAATTGGGACAATAATATTCCAAAATGCTAAAAATAAAGAAAAGCGAAACTAATGATTTAATAACTATTGTTGTTTTTTTTTTCTTTTAAGGGGATAATTTTTTTGTTTATTTATCAAATCCTCAAACGTGCGAGGTGCACACGCCAAGAATATGTTTGAAGAAAATTAGATTAGACTGTTTATTGAAAATTAAGAATGACAATCGCTAAGAACATAAAAAGAAAAGCAGAGTAATAAGGCAATGAGAGGGTCATTAGAAATGTTGAAAGACCAGCGAGTGCAAAGGTGGGGGGAAAGCCGAAGCCGAAATGAGAGCATTACCACATTTTTGGCGTGTCAAAGATGCCGGAGCAGCATTCGCCTTCAAAACGCAGCATAGCAAAACAAAGATGAGCCATTTTCCGATTCAATTTCAGTTTCATTTTCAATAAGTTAAAAAGTTAAATGTAAAATAGTTGGTGAATGAGGAAACATTATTATTTTTTTTTTTTGATTATTTTTATCTCCCACTGAGTGTCTGTCTATAATTTAGCAAAATCTCGGAGCAAATTGGAAATGCTTGCACAGGCGGCACCCATATGCCATATCGATAGAGAGATCTCTCTACGCGCACATACATACATACATACGTACACAAGTTCTTCGCAAAGGTACGCGGAAAAGCGCCACTGTCGTGTAGCAGCACTTCGGCTATTAGCCTCAAATGAGAGCTTTTCTATAGACACATTTTTCCGTTACAATTTCAGAGTGTGTGGAAACGTTCGTTTTGAACTGCAAAAATCAGAAAAGTTTTGGGCGACGGTGAGAACACACGACGATCTGCTATAGTACGGCATGAATCGGTTGGCGATCGGTTGGTTTTGAAACGTTAAAGCGAGCCCATCTATACCCTAAACGGTGGGTATGTAGCGGTGTGTTTGAATGGATATTGACTACAGTGGGCAGTGAGTGATAGGCGAGATGGTGTGGTTTCAAAAAAAATAAAACATAAAATAAAAAAAAAAATAAAGAAATGTATGATAAAACTGAAAGAGTGAAATTAAAAGGTAAAAAAGTGAAGCAGTGAAAATTTACTTAGCAGTAAAAAGCGTTTACACAACACTTTTGCGCTGCAATCGCACGAAAATGGGCAATGAATTCAGTTTGAAAAAAAATTATTTTTAAAACAGATCACTTTAAAAAAAACTTGGCAGTAAGTTAAGCAAAACATCAGCTAGATATAGTTCACAACTGGAAAATCGTGTAGTACTATGTGGTGAAAAAGTCGGGGTTGTACATATGTAGGTACATATATATCTATTCATGTATTTAAGTATACCTACAAATAGATATATATATATATATATATATATGTGTGTGTGTGTGTGTTTGTGCGCTGAAAGTGCACACAGTTTTGAAATTATTCAGCTATTTCAGTTGCTGCTTTGTGTGCTTTTTTGTTTTAATTTTCGTTTTTTTTTCGTATTAAATGGAG